GTATATATATATATTATAATTATATATATATATATATATATATATATATATATATATACACATATATACATATTATATATATATATGAAGATATGAAGATTAATTTTATGTATTGATCATATATTGCACATATACACTTTGGATAGATTCTTTGCATTAACTTGATTAAGTGTGGAGAATTGGAGAGCTGTATTTACATATGTGAAATTAATACTTTGAGCAATTAAGCCAAAGGATACACACTAGCTGAATATAGGGTTGATTAGTCTAGCGCAGTTATTACACTATTGGTCTTAAGTCACCTTAAAGTGCACTTAATATGCAGCAAGAAGTTCTAAATGATTATAGAACCCCTTGGGATCTCTAACTTATTTGTATTTTATACGAAGGCTATATTCTTTCCATTATAATAAACGGGTAATGGCACCAGATACACTTCACAGAATTATCAAGGTAATAAAGTGCAATCCTCCTCTCTTTAAAGAGTTCCTGAGGGCAATAAATTACCAACATATTCTTTGGTTCATACCTTTGCTGTCATATACATGAGATTATTAAGCACTAGTGAAGTGGCCTCTGGTGATCCCCATCCGTTTCCTTTCAGTCCACTGATGCTGGACACTTGTCCATCCCCATCAATGGCTTCCTCCTCTGGGGTGCTGGGGCTGGAGTCTGGGAGGAGAAGTCTGCTGTCCACCAGCTCTAAGTTATGCAGCCATGGCAGCAGGTAAGTAAGCATGATTTGCCGCCCATTCGGATGTGTCGTTGAGAATCTCTGACTCACTTCTGTTGCAAACAAGAAAAAAAAAAAACATAAAATATACAGTACATTAACAGATACTTCATAATAGTTAAATTGGACCTTTACCCATATCTTTAAAAAAACAACAAACACACCTTTAGAAATGTTTAGTAATGACAATCTACAAACACATACTTCTAAATAATTGCCGGCTTTGTATTCTTAATTTCTTTGCATATCTTATTTCTCTTTTCTTCCCCAGTCTTTTGACAGTGGCCATGTTTACTAAGGGCAGATTACTAGCTCTCCTTTTACTTCCTGGATATCAGACACATGTGACTAAGACATGTGACCATGCACATCATCTCAGGGGTGGAAAGTGCCTTTCCATGAGATCTCGTGAGATTACAGATGAGATTTCCCAGCAATGTTCTGCTGATGACAAGGCAATTCCAGTGTGCATTGCGTTGGCAAACTGAAGTAATTTTGCCCTTTCAAAGCAGGAAGTGAATGCTCTGCAAGTGTAAGTATTTCATGACCACAGCATTTTACACCTGACCTGTTTATGTTATTACTAATCATCATACATAAGACTTTTGAGTGTAAAAGGTCCACTTTAAGCTACTCTAAACGGAAGGGCTATGAAAACTATGATAGTTAATGAAGATAGATATCTAACAAAGATAGATAGGCTTTATCCTTCTGTAGAATAGTCATAGATGTAACAGACACACTGTAGTGACTATCAAATAACTGCTTACATGGGTAATTCATTACAATTCAATTAGTGAAAGCCAGTAACACATGTATAAAGTGTATGTAAAAACCCTAACAATAACCTTTTCTTATTTTCTTTTGGTCCATTGAAAGCATTTTGCTATATCTGTTCGATAAATCTACACTACATCTAAGGACTGGAACTTACTACTTTTTTGTTCTTAGGTTCAGACACATCAAGGAAAAATTTCTCTTTGTGGACCAAAAACCTCTCCATATGTTTCACAGTATGAATGACTAATGGAAAGGTGCTCCATTTACTTCACTCTGGCATGGCATTGGCTTTCTTTGGTGTTCTTAAACTGCTGCATAGGGAATTTATATAATTGTACAAAACTGCAACACACAAGGTGTTCACCACTGATAGAGGCCACCTCTTTCTATCAGTCTTGGCCAAAAACAGTGGGCCTGAGGCAACTATCCTCTTGCTCCCTTTCCAGCCTCTTATGGCATTTTAAAATTAAAAATAACTATATAGAGTAAGGCTTTGCTTAATTGAAATTGCTTCTCACTGGCAGCCAACTACTTTCTTCAAACCAATCCCTGTATCATACAATATATTTCCAATTATTATTATTATACAGGATTTATATAGCGCCAACAGTTTGTGCAGCGCTTCTCACTGGCAGCCAACTACTTTCTTCAAACCAATCCCTGTGTCCTACAATATAATTCCAATTAATTACGGAATGCAATGAACATATTATGAGATGAAGGCGTGAAAAACATTGCACACGTATTTATTATTGAGGCTGGTGGTCATCTCATAAATAAGCATAGCATGGTGGCATTCTTGCTTGCAAGCTATGGGATTTATCATTCGGTTCCAAACAGGAACCTTATTTCCAGAAAGTGTATATGTTCTTTTCTGCATTTTTCCTAGTTTTCTCCCACCCCAAGACATGATTCTTCATAATGGCTACTGTGTGTGCAAGGAACATTAGACTGTAAGCTCCTTCTGCGCATGGACTGATGTGAATAGTTCTACATATTCTCTAAACCATCACATACTTTGTCATTGACATATGAATATGGAAAATGATAATACTGAGTAGTGAAACACTGTACTCATTAGATACGGTATCTCCTGCCAGTCATAACTAAGAGGTAGAGTTATAACAACTACATTACTGTAGAAACATAACACAGAGGCTAATCTATAAAACTTAAAAAAAAAAAAAGTCCTAAAAGCCCATATCAAGAAATAGAACCCTTTCTTTCTTGTTTTGTATTGTGCACAAAGAAATGTTTCCTTCCTGAAATTTCATAAAATCTGCCCCACTGTGATTAGAGATTGGCTTGCATTGACAGAAGCCTGTAACAAAGCAATGGCATTCAGCAGGAAGAAAAGCATACAGCAGATCCTGATAATTAAAATATTTATGCTTTGTTTTCCAACCAGTGCAGATACCGCTCTTTTCCTAGAACATCCAAATGGAGCACATTATTTGGATCCATTTTAGAGCTTTAATTTTGTAGCCAATACATTGCAAAGTATATAAAAAAGGTAGAGCCAACAAACCAAACCTATTTTAATAGTCATGAAGGAGAAGGGCGACGCACAAAAGAAAAGGTCATAATACTACAACATAGTATTGAGAAAAACCTGTTAATAAATTGGGGCTTATTTCAAAATCCTGGCTCTCATGTATGAAAGTAGTGTGTCTTCCAAATTTAATTACATGACAATTCTACAATTCTCCACTATGGCAGCCACGGTTAAGCTCCACTTATTTGTCTGTAGTCTATCATTTCAAACACTACTAGTGATGTATTAAGACATATAAAGCAAGTTTCCACCTCCCTAAATACAACATGCTATGGTCCTCTTCTCAGACATCCGAAGGGCTTAGTACTAAACACCTAAAACAAAGTTCATCCAAAGTTTTAAGTACCTGAGAACAAGGGCAGTGTCAGCTCCGGATACATCCGTGCCAGCTCGTTAGACAGACGAATTAATGAGACACTGTATAGGGGTGGCAATATGCCATGGGTGCCATACAGGATACTTCCAGGCTTCTGCTCTGCCACCTTTTTGGAATATACAAACAGTTTTCCTTCCAGGACCTACAGGGTGAACAGAATGGTCTTTAGTTATTATTATTCAGTTATTCTCTGTAAACAGTTTGATGCCAGTCTAATAACACCCATAAGCACATTTCAGTTATAAATACAGCAAAATTAAAATGCACATTACATATATAGTATTTGACTGTATAGCATATAGACCAAAGCATTGTTTATCTAACCCCCCTCCTTTTATGTCTGTCTTGAACTGGAGGTTCTCCCTCACTTCCTGTCCCTGTGAAAACCATACAAGCGATAAAGGGTGTGATCATCACTGGATCAAATATTGTGAGAAGAACCCTTGCACAAAATTTCTTTTTCCGTCTGTGTCTTTGTTGAAAATATTGCCCTATACTAGAGATGTCCCGATACTAGTATCGTTATCGGTGCCGGAAAAAAAATAAAAAATTTAAAGCGCCAATATCGGCGCTATGTATCAGGGCATTTTCACAAGTACTTGTACTTGTGAAAATGCCCCGATACATAGCGCCGATACCGGCGCTTTACATTCTTAAGTAGTTTCAGGCTGCCCAGAGGTAACGCGCTTGCTGGGGTACTTAGGGCAACCTGCGGGGTAGCCAGGTGAGGACCTCAAAGCCTCACCTCCCAC